TATATATATATATATATATATATATATATACACATTATATATATACATACATTATATATACATTATATATATATATACACATACATTATATATATACACATTATAAATATATATATATATATATATACACATACATTATATATATATATATACATACATACATTATATATACATTATATATATACATATATATACATTATATATATATAATTTGTAAGTATTTGTAAGCTTTGGATAAAAGCGTCTGCTAACTGACAAAAAAAATTAAATATAAAATTATATATATACACACATATACATAAAACCAGTTTTAAAAAGCATTAATTTAATTAAAAGGCATTATTTATTATTAATTTAAAGCATGCTTTTTAGACCTGAATGCCCTTTATTTTACATATTTATAATTATATAATACACACACATATATACACACATTATATACATATATATATATATGCCCTAAAACAACTCTTGCTCATAAACCTACATAGATAGCATATTTTGAGCATTGAGCATCAACAGTCAAAATCTAGTGTGCCTACACGGACAGCATTCTTGGCCATCCAAACTTTAAAGAGCATAAATGCCCTAAAACTAGTCAGCTTCTCGCCTATGCAACATTTTTGGCACTGATCCCAAAAAGTGATGTCTATGTAGGCAGCTCACAAGGGTTTGAGACACATCCACTATCTTACCAGTATGCTGCTATAACAGAGAGGTGACAAAAACATCTACAACACCATCAACTCTGGGCATAAAATATTACACAGCATCCACAGAGAGCTCTAAATGCAATTCTAGATGACATACCTAAAGCCTCTTCTGGATAGTGGAATAATCCAAATGATGTAATCAGATCAAACGTTATCAAACGAAAGTATTCCGGTAAATCCGGTTAGTAAACCGCATCAACTCACGGTCTGTATCTGAATCCCGGACTGATGGGACGCTGTCACGCTGATTTGCACGGTCTGAAGGCGAGATTTTACGCGCAGGGCATCGCCGTCTCGCTAGTGTTTTGGTTTCACTAGGTGTCCATGTTTGTGCCACTCCGCGCGCGCGAAGCTCCTCTATCCTCCGGTGAAATTACGAAACCTACTACGATGAAGGTTTAGCTCATGTATATTAAAAAGCTCATTTAGACGTTGCTTGGTAACCTTCCCGGAGCTGTCGGTCAGAATACCAAATTAACATTCATTGACCACGCCTTCGCTATTAATTGGTCAGCTGAAAAGCGCCCACGCCTGCCTTTGAGCCAATCAGCTTTGCGGTCTGGGGGAGAGCTAATTAATATTCATGAGCCAAGCCTTCAGCGCAGCATGTATTCGCATGCTTTTCAGTCTGCTTAACTTCCGCCCAAATACCCCAATTTCAACGAAAATGCTACTAGAAAATCTTCCCTAAATTTAAATAATCGGTGCTTTCCAAGAGTATCAGCTGCGGACTGCCCCTAATAAAACTACAGCTTTACTAAAAATAGACAAATGGAAAAGCCCAATATCAGTAGTCACCGCCAGAGGGGAGTCACTCCAGCAATATACATTCATTTCCTTTTTATTCCACTTATTTTTAATTCATTTCATTATTTGGCTTACCCTTACAAAACAATATTTTGCAGTATTGTAATATAAGAATGGGTGTAATAGATTTTCAATCTATTTTAATCCGTTTTATATTATTTCTAACTGTAATCAAAGAGACTTTACACTTTCTAAAATGTTTAATTAATCTGATGTATTTATGTATCATCACTAATATAATTCCTTGTTGTAATACTTTATTTTACCCTTACTGTACTAAACACAACTACCACCCGTGTGATAATGTGACAATAACGAATCTTGAACTTTGAAAGCACATTATGCAACAACGGCTATTTAAAACATAAAAAGGTCACCTTTTATGGTAATTGGGCTATAGGGAGAAAAATCAGATGTCATGTCTTTTTTCTGAGGATTGCAAATGAAAAACACATGCTTTTAGGGTACAAAAGGAGCAAAATAGCATGTGCTCAGCAAGCACTCAGTCAATGCAAGCAAGAACTTGAGAGGAAGGACAGCAAAAACAGGGATACAGAAAAAGAGCAGAATGTGTGGGTAGATTTGCTGAGTCATATCCCGTGAAATCTGAGGCTCAGGACAGAAACGACAAAACAAAGCCTCTGGTTAAACGGGTCGAAGTAACACAGACAAGCATTCCAGAGGAATTTTTTTGGCGGGGTGGGAAGCGAGGGAGGTTAGTTTTAAAGGCTGAGGCCGGTTAAATGGCTTTGAGGTTTGGTTTGAGGAATTTAAGGAGACGGTTCTTTTGATATTCTGAAAATTCTCACATTAGAGGAACTTCAGGGAGCCTACACAACTCATTTATTTTCTTTCAGCTTTCAATAACATCTTGTATTCTTGTTGTTTTGGGCTTCATGTACGTGATTACTTTTGCAACTTTTATGTACAGGCCTTTGGTACCCATTACGATTTGAAAGTGCTACAGAAATCAAGTTGAGTCAAGAGTGCATTTGAATTCTCATGCATAAAAAGACTGTCATGTGCCATGGCTTCTTCCTCTTGCACGCTATATTTAGAGACTTGCATTTTGCCCAAAAACAATATTTGCAATGTCCAACATCTGCTTTTGGTTACGGTGCATAATAATCGTAATATTTTAATAATTTGAGCGAGAAATAACCTTTGAGTACAGTCAAATTTTACACAAAACTAAAATGCATAACCCTAAAAAACACAAAACCAAAAGGAACAGTCTGATTCTGAATCTACACACTAAAACTGAACTATCAAAACATTGATGCATCCTCTAATCCCAAGCATCCAGGTACACTGATGCGTTTATAAAGTATCTAGTTTATCTTCCAGGAGTTGTCAATACTTTAAATCTCTAACATGAAGTACCCTTAGGATGAAAACAACACAAAATCACTTTGTGGTTTGAATTAGTCATTAAAACCAGAGTTTATGTGATGCTCGTGCACTCACCTGATGAGATCGACAGATTCGGCTGAGGAGTCTAATATGACGTAGACGGTCTGAGGACGCTCGTGCAGCGCCTGTTGCCCAGGTAACGCCACTTCCGGTCTGCCCTTCTCGGGTTCGACGGAAAGCAGGCTGGACATTTCTCCAGGTGTAAAATGGTACTTAAAAAGAGCAAAATAAACGAGCTAGGGTAACCGAGAATGATACTACTCTGAGCTAAAGTTTTCGGAAGAGGTTGAATAGAGGACCGTCGCACTTCCCGACCGCTAGCGAGATGTTTACTGCACAACTGGTCTACGCGTTTCCCCAGATTCCCGCGTCGAGGCTTCCTTTAGCAGTCTGCACTGCAGCTTGATGAAAAATAAATGCGTCTTAGAAGTCCGAAGTCCTTCGTTCCTTAATCAGAGTCTGGCTGCTGTGCAAACAGTTCTCTCGCTCTCTTCTCCGCACACTGAGGGGAGTAAATCTGACTGGAAAACCCCAGTGACGCTCCATGATCAGCCGAGTGTGACAGACAGACGAGCGGTCCAATGGCTGTGCAGCGTGGGCGGGGCTTCACTGCGGTCAGCCAATAGGCGACCGATAGAATGCTTGTTTACTTCAAACGTTAGGTCAGCCCAGAGGGTCAGCCTTTGATATATAACATTACAAACTATTTCGTCATCCTTTAGTTTTAGATGAGGAACCTCCGTGTCTTGCTGTGATATTCTAAAAAAAGAATAATGAAATTAAAATAATGTTGACGATGAAATGAATACGCTGTGATTTAATTGAGCATCTTATTTGCGTATATAAAATAGAAAAAATGTATTATAGCCTATGCATATAGGTATGTGTTTTTGACACAACAGGGTACCTTTTTTTTTTTTAAGGCTTTACAGGCATACATTCCATGTATTTGTGAGACCTATTACGTTTGATAAACTATATTATATGGCCTAGCTAGTTTAAATCACAAATGTATGTAGCCTATCTCCTCGTTATATATACAGGAATATAAATATATACATATCCTCTTCACACACAAACACACTTGTAAGATAAAAAATCGTACAAACTACTGTATCACACATTATTTAGATCAAATAAATGAATGAAACACTCTTTTTGTTCTTTTATTACTTTATTTCATAAACATTTTCATGATCTTGCACAGAATTCATTGGGATATTAACATACAATGGTACCCAGTGGCCTGCCACTAATTTAATCAACAATAATAATTATAATAGTACTTGAAATAACAGTAATACCCATTATGTGTACAATAAACCAGGTTTCATGAGGGAAAACAATAGCATGTATACTTGTGCCATATAGTGTCATGGTTTGGCTAATAGGATTGAAAACGTATTAAAAAAGCTCGTAATGCAGCAATTTCTTGGTTTTCTCAGAGAGTGTTTCTGAGCAAAATAAGACGGCGTGAACTGTCCTTGAGAAGATCAACTATAGGGCTATCTGGCAATGTTTTACAAATCCCTCTCTGCTGATTTGTTGCAGACGTACATCACATGAAGAGTCAGCAAAAAAATGACAGAAGCGGGTCAGGAGGCGCTCATTCCGCTACCGCGGGTTTGGCATGCTGTAATGATGCCAGAGAGCAGAGGAGAAGGAATGGTAGATCATCTCTAGGCAGGTAATCATTAACATCTATGAGCAATACAGCTGTCCATGCCTCAACATTGCTCTCTTTAGCTTCCATATAAAAGAAACCTGCTTTACCAAACGCTGGCTTACAATAAATAGGGTTTAAAAGTTTGGCATGTAACAAAGTAATCGTCGTCATGGCAAAAATGAATTTGGTGCAATAGAACTAGGTTATAAACATGAACAAGATTAGAACCCTCAAGTCAAAAATCCAGGTGTAGGAACAGATTACATAATCATCATCATCATCAGACTGTGCTATTCATGGAATATTTTGGTATGCAGATCTGAGCATATACAATATATACAATGTAACATTTAACTCTCTGTTCTGCACCACAGAGATGTAACAGTTTCTCCCAAACGATTCTTGCCACAGAATAATCCACTGTGTTATTACTCCATATTAAAGACTAGAAACTCTGTTTTTATAACCTGTTCATTCAGATACACTGAATGTACGTATGCAGGAAAACGGAATTCCTGATCCCATCTTATCATATATTTATAAACACAAAGCTGTTCCCTTGATCAAACAATAAAATAGCACCTCTGTTTCTGTATATGACACTTAATGTCAGACTTTTTTTTAGATAGTTTTGCTTAAAAATGCACAATTGTTCTTGCTAAAATGAACTACAGTGTATTTCATCTGTATCTTCTTTGAATAATGTAGAGATTTTTGTGAGATTTCAGAGAAATATATCCTTTAAAAAATAGTTAACAATTAGATTTTGTGGACTAATAGAAACTCAAATATTAAAAATCAAATTTCATGCATTAACTTCCAATTACTGTTGGACGTGGAGCACACAGAAACAATAACATATATTCTCCCAAATGTTAACATGTAGCGTTTCGCCTTTGTATTTTGGTAGTGTTCATCATTTGGTTCATCGCAGAGTTTACTAACTTCACTACAATTACCTCAAGGAGTAAAAAAGACAATAAATATCGGTATTAAACAAAAAAAAAGAAAGGTAAATAAAACATTTCCATTTCTAATACAAATTTTCTGCAGTATACTTTGGCAAAAAGCAATTGTGAAAAACAATGTGAAGATAAGCACAAGGCTGCAAAATATCAGTAAGGCAGGATATCAAGAACAATAATACTGAGAGAAGCAGGAAGATGAATGCGTGTGTAAGCGTGAGTGACGGGCAGGCTCAACTGAGGATCTGGGAATGACCAGTACAAGTCGTAAACATATGGAAGTGAACACACACAGCCCTGTCCCAAAGCCATGCGCTGCCATCAACAGTCCAAAAACCTCCGAGGAAGGAAACCGCAGGCAGGCTGGAGGCTGGTGGACTGGGAAAACACACCGACTGGTTCACCTTCACTTACTCGAGCGATTAAACTCAAGACTCAAGATTAAAGCAATATCAAACACAAAAAAGGTAAAGCAGTTCTCAATGAGTCATCAGGCGTTCACACTGGCAAATAACTGGATTCAAAAGAGGAAATGAAAATGAAGCTCTTTCTAAAACACCGAATATCTACCTCTGGAAAAAGTGGTGAAACGTGAGAACTTATCCTAAGCTTTTCTTGACCTGGGGTTTACCACAATGCTCAGAAGTCCATTTAAAACTGCACATAACAAAGATCAAACACCAAAGCTCATCGACAATACCTAACCCACAAAACTGGGCTCAGAGGAATAAGTTATTTACAAATGAATTCGTCTTTTAATCTTTTGCACTTTTCATTCACAAATACAACACGGTTGAAAACGTTTGATATCCTCATTAAAACTTTTACCTTTTTTTATTGATATATATTCTATATTTATCAAAAAACCCTCTAAGTAAGGCAGGGATATCATTGAGTTTACAATGATAAAAACTAGCCCGATTCATACACACCCTCATGACCTAAAATCCTCATATTAACTGCAGCCACAACACCCTTGCATTCATAAAATCACTCATGCACACTCAAAAAACAGGATAAAATCTCTGTTATCCTGTAGGGAGAGCCCTGTCAATTCCTTTGATTGAAACGTTCCCATTACACACGTTTTCCTCCTCAGAATAGTTTTTCCCTACAGTTGGAGCAAAAGGGACAGTCTAAGGTGTGAATCTCACAAAACATGTCCAGGTCACATTTCTATGGAAGCCTGTTTCCACCATGGAGTAAAAATAAATAAATAATAAAAAGGTAATTGCGAATTTACTTCATTCAGAATCACAATTTTGAGTGTATATCTCACAATACAAAGAGAAAAAATAATTGTCATAATTGCATGATTTAAAAAATTGTTTTTTAAAATCATGCAATTATGCATGATTCAAATATTTTTTTGTGTTTGATATTCTGAACTAACGTCCTGCAATTTTTTTTTCCGTCTCACCATTTTGACTTTTTTTTTTTTTGCAATTGTGAGTTTATATCTCACAATTCTGCCTTTTTTCTCAGAATGGTTTCTCAGAACCTTGAGTTTATGTAAAATCAGAATGGCGAGAAAAAAAGTCTGTATTGGAGATAAAAAGTCACCTTTGTTTATCCCATGGCAGAAACGAGGTTCCATACATTTCACCCCCCCCCCAAAAAAAAAAAGAAATTTTATTTTGTTTAAAATAAAAAAATGCTTATTTTAACTCCATTAAAGGGTTAGTTCACCCAAAAATGAAAATTCTGTCATTAATTACTCACCCTCATGTCGTTTCAAACCCGTAAGACCTTCGTTCATCTTCGGAACACAAATGAAGATATTTTTGATGGAATCTGAGAGCTGTCTGACGCTGCATAGACAGCAACGCAACTGAAATGTTCCCAAGTCCAGAGACGTAGCAAGGAGAATTGTAAAATAATCCATGCGACATCAGTGTTTCATCCGCAATTATATAAAGCTACGAGCTGCGTCACGCCGGATCGGTTTCCTACGTTGTTGTGATTTGATCTGAACAGAAACAGCGTATCCGTGTGACGCAGCTGACACAGAACAACATACGTTGTTTACGTCCAGCGGATATTCTTCAAAATGGCACCAGGGTGACGCGGAGGAGACGAATTGTTGAATAAAGTCGTTTTTTTTTCTTTTGTGCACAAAAAAGTATTCTCGTAGCTTCGTATAAATGTGGTTGAACCACTGATGACACGTGGATTATTTTACAATTCTCCTTGCTACGTCTCTGGACTTGGGAACATTTCAGTTGCGTTGCTGTCTATGCAGGAATCAGACAGCCCTCAGATTTCATCAAAAATATCTTCATTTGTGTTCCGAAGATGAACGAAGGTCTTACGGGTTTGAAATGACATGAGGGTGAGTAATTAATGACAGCATTTTCATTTTTTGGGTGAACTATCTCTTTAAGTTTTTATTTTTTACATCGTGACATTTTAATTACAATTAAGATGTTTTGTAATTCCTATTATTCTCAATAGTTCTTATCAGATTCTCATTACTGTAAATCAGCATAAATTAAAGACAGTACCACATATAATACCACATATAATTTAAATAATATATAATTTATTTCACCTTAGGGTAATGAGATTTGTACTAATAAACCATGTCACAGAGCAACAAAAATCGTAATGGTCATTAAAACAAGCTTCATTTATTTTACTTGCAATGCAAAATGAAGTTTCTTAATTGGTATTAAATTTGGGTTGACATGTTCTTGACAGGTTCCCTGACATTCACTCCTAGATTGTGTGCGAGCTACGATGAGCGTCCACTAGGTGGCAGACTAAATTTGTTGGTGTTTTCTGAGCTGAAGTCAACAGGAAGCACATATTTCTGTCGGTTGTGAGTGGTTAAAACCCCCTTAATAAATATTCCTGCTATGTTCCAGCAGTTCCTGATTACCACACATGTACACTATGTTTCTGAGATAAACACAGGCTTGCATAGCTGAACCACAGTTCATGTGGCCAATCCTGTCACAATCCACTACTAAATGCAATAGCCGATGTTTTACATGTAATCGAAATGTGAAATCCAGAATTTGATCCTCTTACCAAGCGGATTATTGCCATTAATATTGGCAGGATTCATAGTCCACTGACTTTTACTGATTTAAAACAAACAAAATCAGTCATTCCCTCCAGCTTCTGGTAATGTAAACTAGGGTATTTCGCTGTAGACTCTCTAGGTCACCTAAACTTTTCATGAAACCAGGCCAAACATTCACACACAGCCACCAAATGGTAGAACCATCTCACTTCGCAAAACCATAGCCTCAGTCGAGAAACCACTTCACAACACTTTGAGATTTGGCAGAAACAGTCGATTTAACATAGAAACTTCTAGCGGCCGAAAGAGTTGATGCACTCAAGTCATCTTTAAAGGGGTCATATAATGCTGCATGCACTTTTACAAGTAGTTTGAACTGAAATGTGTGTTGGCAGTGTGTGTACACAACCACCCTAAAATGATAAAAATCCACCCAGTGTTTTTTTTTTATCTACTAAAATCTTTACCCCTTTCTCAAATTGAGCCGATCTCAGATGCCTGTCTGTGTGACGTCACACAGACAGGCCCCTCCCACGATAGTTTGATTGACAGTAGCATTTCAGCACAGACTGGACTGGAGTCTTACCTCAGACCTGACAAGATTGACAAGATTGACTCCTAAGCGATTGAGGTGTTCTGTTGTTGGATGTAATAATGAACATAGCAGTCGTCATTTACTCCAGACATCTGAGCCACTGAAGACACAGTGGATTACATTTGTTCTTGAAGGGAATGTGCCCCCCGAACTACATAAATGCGTCTATGTTCGCGCGAATCATTCGTGATCCAGCTTCACCTACAAAAGGAGTGTAAGGTTTTTTTTTAACAAATCTTGGCAAATCGCCTTTCCTAATAATGTGCTAATTAGCAAGTTTCACAATGAATGCGGCTAAAGTAAACGGTCTCTCTGAGAGCGGCTCGGAAGAAAGGGGCGGGGTCAGCAGAGCTCATTAACATTTAAAGGTAAATGCTACAAAACTGCGTGCACTGAAAAGAGCTGTTTTACAGGGTAAAAAAGGTGTTTTTTACACTACCATAGATAAATTTTAACCAAACTATGTTACAGAATTTTCATTAAGACCCTAAAGAATCATATCAACTTGAAAAATGGGTATCCTATGACCCCTTTAAAGTGTGCGCACTTTTGTCAGATTGTTCCAAACACTGGTCACTCACACAAGATGAGCAATACACAGAGAAACTGTAGATATTTCATGCAATTTACAACTGACAATTAATACAGACGTGTGTAAGAGAGAAGGTATACGTGTGTGTGTGTGTGTTTTTTGTCTATTATATCCTGTCGGTGTGGTCACATTTGTACAGTTTGTGTGTGCAAAATGATATCATATTTTCAGCCAATCATGTGCTTTCTCCCGTAGGTACTGGCTCCTCCCCTTCTTCCTCGAGGGCCTCGGATATCGGACCGTTTGACTGCAGCTCCTCACCCCTGCCGGCTCTCGATAAGACCTCCATCCAACGTCGCTGCAGTTCCTCACAGTCGGCACTGAAGTAAATGGTCAAATGACTCTGGCTCATTTTGAAGGCGTTGCGGCGTTCTAGACGGTCACTTGATTCGGGTAAGGACACCTCGAAGCCGATGAGGGGAATACTGCGCTGGGCTTTGACATCCTGTGCGTATGGAGAGAGAAAGAGAGAAGAAAAGATCAATACTTCACTGCTCAACCATTAACTGACCACTCTGAACCGCATTAGTCATGGAATGAATACTAAGGCCTTGTTTACATCTGGTGTTAACATCTGTTTGATCACATGACTCCTGGTAGTAACATGCATGTCAAATGCATCTCCTGTAGAGGTTTGGGGTTGGGGTTGTAAGATTTTCATTGTTTTTGAAAGAAGTCTCTTCTGCTCACCAAGGCTGCATTTATTTGAGTAAAAATGGTAATATTGTGAAATATTATTACAGTTTACAATATATACTGTTTTCTATATGAATATATTTTAAAGGTGTCATATGATGCGATTTCAAGTTTTCCTTTCTCTTTGGAGTGTTACAAGCTGTTCGTGAATAGATAAGATCCCTAAAGTTGCAAAGACTAAAGTCTCAAACCCAAAGAGATATTCTTTATAAAAGTTAATACTGGTCCACGCCCCCCTAAAATGTCTCGTTTAAACACACCCCCACATGTCTACGTCACGATGTGGGAAGATTTGTATAAAGCCGCCCAAATATTTACATTTCAGTTCTATATATTTTGTAAATATTTAGGCTTTCTGATAACTTTTCAATCATTCATGTAATTTCTTTGATTGATTGGCAGTCTTCTGCTACTGTCTAAGGTGCATCAGGAGAGCCTGAAGCACAATAAAGCAATAAGCCCCAAGAAGCTGTGATTTACAGTGAATTTATAATAGCTAAGGTGCGTTGTAAAACCCCTTAGCTGTTATAAATTCACTGTAAACCACGGTTTCACGGGGCTTATTGCTTTTATAAAAAGGTTATTCCATATACATAGTTAGGTTTCACAAAATAAAACAGAGCAAATAAAGTGTAATGATATTAATAAAAACAGTATTCTTCCACCAAACAATGTAGTTCCTCAGAAACCATTGTGGTTGCAACAAAGTTGCAAAACGGTGTGTGTTTGTAGAGCAATTTACAACAGCTTCGAACGCGGCTCAACCAATCAGAATCAAGGACCGGAACTATCCGTTTCATAAAACAGATATTAACACCAGGTGTAAATGGTATCACAGTGATGCAGTAGTTTAAATTTGTCAAAAATGCAGAACTATGAACTCGCATCCATATTTTGCAATAACACATTTACGTGCTATCATGTATAAACATGAGGATTAGTTGATGCAGCCCCATCTGATCGTCTTACCTGCGGAGCACCATAGATATACAGCACCAGTGGCTCATTGTCAGGGATGACAAACCAGGCCTTCTGCCACCCACGTCCACTTCCTTTCTCCATATGATGAAGGAAACTACACAACACGCTGTTCTCAGCTGCCACTGAGGCTTGTTTCTGCAGGAAAAAGAGGTGAAAAAATATAGACCATCACTAGCTTTCACACTTTGGGTTGCCAGATGTCATGGGTTTAAATCTGCCATCAAACCTCTAGAATGGAGCGGCGTCTCTGTATGCTGTTGCTCAGACTGGCCGGAGAGGGCGGCACTCCCACTAGCGTGGTGTAGCAATCTATACACACGCGGTTGGCTCGGTTGTTATCGTACAACAGACGGGCACGGAACTCCGAACACTTCCCACACACCACCTGAAATCAAGAAGACCCACATCAGCCCACTGCGTCAACGAGCATGTCAGAAAACACAGGTGTGGTGTAACATACATGTCCACAGGCTTTGCAGTGATGCCGTCTTTTGGTAATAGAGTTGAAAGGCTCCTGACACTTCATGCACAGCGTGACCTCTTTCTCCCGGATTGGAGTAGGCGCTCGCTTTCCAAGCTCTGTGCAATTCTGAAAACAAAGAGTGGTCAGAGAATATTGCAGTGGCCACAAAACCTAAGCCACAGCTAAAACATGGGTTAAAATGTCATTGCATTAGAGCTAGTTATCATAAAAGGTGTTTGCTTTTAAAAGTAATGCCACTTGGTTTGATATTTTGCTAACTAATGCAATGACATTCATGCATTTTTAAGTGTGGCTTGAGCATCAAAATACTTTTTGGAGCCACTATATTTTGTAGTTATTCATATAGATTAGGGGTTTTTAAACATTTTGATGCCACAGATGCCCAAATTTATGTCAATGCCTTCATGAAATATAAATGCTATATATTTTCATGGATGAAGACCCATTTAAACTGTGGAATTATGTGTAAAATATTATCTGGAAAATATTTTAATGATTTAGTATTTATAATATACTTGCTATTAAGTTGACATCTTTTTTTGATTTGATTAATATCATGATTTACAACCAGTGTTTAGAAAACAGAGAGAAATGACAATTGTTAATTAATTAGTTAAAAAAACTGTATTATAACATATTATATATTAAAATATATATATTTAAAATAAATTGTTATTTTTATAATATTCAAATATATACTTTAGTATTATTTCAATATATGTTAGTAACATAATTTTTTTTTTTTTAAATGTACATGTTGTAAACATATATGTATACATATCCCTGCAGAGCACCATAGATATACAAATGATCATTTTTAATTAATTAATTTAAAAATGTGTTATATTTTAAAACTATATTATTTTATTAACATATTTGAATTTAATAGAGGTCTCTGGACCCAAGTTTGAAAATCCCTGATAGAGACTGCATTTTAGTTTTCCCATAAAAAATCTGAATGAGGCCTGGATATGATTTATTTTAATATAATAAAGGCAACATTTAAATGGCAAGGCAACATTTAAATTTTTTTTAAGTTATATTTTTCATTTGTTATTTATTTTTCAGCTTTATTTTAATGAACAAAAATGATTTTAAATAGTTTTACTTTTAGCTTCAGGTAACAACACTGCGAGTGATAAGATAAAACTAACCGGAGAGTTTGGAGGAGTGAAGTCCTCCTCCCGAAACGAGCAGTTCAGCATGCGGAAGGTCTCCAGCGTCTGTTCATGTCTCTGTATAGTGGTCTGGATCGCCTGTGAGAAAGTGAACAAAAATGAGAATAATGTAAGCAGGAGTGTTATAGTCAAGAGATATGAGAACCTGTGATATGATGAAGAAAAGCTCACCTGAATCCAATCTCTCTTCTCCTCTTCCGTCCTGGTGAAAATGAAAACGGCAAACGTTTTAAAAATGCCAAAAGCCGCACATATTTCTCTTGTTTTTCAGTGGCTGATATGCTTATCTTGGGTATTTTCTCCTAATGCCCAAAAGCTCGGACAACATTTCTGTGGTTGTCAATCAACCTCAGATTTTATTTTTAAAGCAGACGAAGCACATTCCCTCAGCCGTACCTTGCTTGCAGTTCTAGTGAACGTTGTTTTCCCGAAACCAGAAATGTTCGCGGTACGTTCATGCTGCTGGTCTCCTTCAGCTGTGAAGCAATGCAGAGTGAATCAGCCATTTGATTTAATTTGAGTTTTATGCTGTAAACAAGATAAAAACATGCTGAACCTCCATGCCGTCAACGTCAATCCGCGCTCGCACTCCAAACTTCTGTCCAATCAGCCTCAGTTTGGGAACGCAGTACAACAACCTGTCATTGAACTTCAGAGAGACGAGCAAAGTTAAACGTGCATGATTTAGCAACAATTTTACTAAGAAAAACCTTGCTTGCAGTTCTAGTGAACGTTGTTTTCCCGAAACCAGAAATGTTCGCGGTACGTTCATGCTGCTGGTCTCCTTCAGCTGTGAAGCAATGCAGAGTGAATCAGCCATTTGATTTAATTTGAGTTTTATGCTGTAAACAAGATAAAAACATGCTGAACCTCCATGCCGTCAACGTCAATCCGCGCTCGCACTCCAAACTTCTGTCCAATCAGCCTCAGTTTGGGAACGCAGTACAACAACCTGTCATTGAACTTCAGAGAGACGAGCAAAGTTAAACGTGCATGATTTAGCAACAATTTTACTAAGATTACTAAACATTTGAAGGTATGATTTATGTCATTTATGTTTGTCTTTGACTCACCAGAATGAGGTATCTATCCTGGGATGTCCCGTTTTTAGCTGACAGTTTCAGGATGTGTCCCTCTTTAATGAGCTCATTAGTCGGGTTAACAATGTCCTCTTCTCCACCGAGCAACTCGTACACTTTCAACAGCTTTCTCATGCGCTCCTGAGGGACAGAACATTCACACGTTTGTAGAAACATTTGTCATTTCATTCAAGTAATGGCCAAAGAAATGGCCAAATTGTCCCCACCAATATTTGTTATTTTTGATATTCATATACACACATATACTAGCTTAAGAAATAATATATTCTAGTTATATATATTCTAAAAAACTATATATTTATATTAATATATACTTCTGTAATTTAAAAATGAAAAAAGGACAGCCCTGTGTATGCTGCGTTTATTAAAAAAAAAAAAAAAAAATTAGATGTAGTAATTTTTAGTAATTGTAGTAATTTTTTGTATTAGTAATAGTAATGTTTTTAAATATACTTTTGTAATATAAAAATGAATAAAATCTTTCATTATAATATACATATATATAAACTTTATTAAAATATACATATATATTTAAATTGTTATTTTTATATAATTTTAATATATACTTTAGTAATATTTTAATATGTTAGTAATATATATATATTTTTTAATTTAAACACATGATATATTATACATATCGCTACAGTAGGCTATATCTTATTAAAGTTTTATAATAAATAATAATTATTTAATATTGTATATATCCAATTATGCAAAACTACTGAAATGTTGTCATTTTGAATTGAAAATATGCTATCGTTTACAGTACACGATTCGTGTAATTCATAAATCAATGTGACAAAACAAGAAATGTTTAGTGCTTTTGAAATATTAAGCACACAAAGAAGAGTGAATGTGTGCATATTGTATTTTAAAATATTACTTGCAAATAATTCAAATTGATTTCTTCACAACTAGAATTAGACTTTGTTATGGCATGGTTATGACCTTGTTTTGAGTGATGATAAAAACGCCAGATTTGACGTTGTCTGTTTTAGCTCAGGTCTACTTGGAGGGAGGTGTCTCGTGTCTCAAAATTTAGATAATAAAAACATAAGCAATTAACAGATTCAGACAGAGAGACTTTCACAACAGACCTCACATTAAAGAGGCAACCATGCTTAATTACAAAGGGATGTTATAAGTGGCAGTGTTGCTTTTCACCCCACACGGAGTGTGTGTGGTTCATCTGAAACTGCACTCACCATTTTCCTGATGGCAGCGTTTGAATGTTCTGCCGCTGTGGCGATCAGCTCCAGAGATTCTGTAGAGAATAAAGGACTTGATATTCACAAGGTGCAATTTTTTTATCTTGGGCTGTTAACCTTGCATGAATCTTTTCACTGCAATATTTCCAGGCACATGCACCAATAGCTGAAATGAAACAGAAAATGGGCCGCTGCGATCAGTGGTGGAGAAAAGGCCCATTTGAGCGTTCTGCCTTTCTGCACTCACTCTGAGCATCTTTGAAGTCGTCCGCGTCCTCTGGCAGGCGGTGCAGATAGTCTTTGAGCAGGAGCTCGTAGCGAGGGATCCTCTGCACAGGCTCCAACATGTGGTGCTGTAGGGTAAGATTCCCACACATCTCCTCTTTCTGCAAAACACACCCAAAATCATCCGATGAGCAAAAACAAACCATGCACCGGTCCATTCCCACACACAAATTCGGAATATTTGCAAAAGCAGATACTTTAAAGATATGAAATCAAGACTGACTGCATTTACTTCATTTATTGTGCACAATTCATCTGTGCACATAATTATATGTATTATATATGTAAATATTATTATTGAAGTATAATATAATCTATGTGTGTGTGAGAGATTTTGCTTTTTATTTTTGCTTTCATTAAAATATATAAGACATGATATATTATACACATGACATGAGTATTATTAAAGTGTGTGTGTAGATAGACAGACAGACAGACAGACAGATAGATAGATAATTATTATTAAAATATATATGATCAAAATATATTATTAAAGTATATATATAATAATTTATTATTATTTTATTAACACACACACACACACACACACACACACATATATATATATATATGATTTTTATGTTTTAATATATACTTCAGTTTTTCATTCGCATTAATTAAAATATATATTAAAATACATTATGTATTACACATATTACATATTACACACATACACACACACATATACAGTATATATATATATATATATATAAAATACTTGTTTTTATGTTTTTATAAGCTTTCATTAAAATATTATATATTAAAATTAATCGCATCCAAAATAAAGTTTTTTATTCAGCAAGGATGTGTTAAATTGTTAAGAAGTGATAGCAAAGATTTATATTGTTAGAAAAGATTTATATTTTGAATAAATGCTGTTCATTTGAACTTTTTATTCATCAAAGAATCCTGAAAAAAAGTATCGCTGTTTCCAAAAAATATTTGGCAGCACAACTGTTGCCAACATTGATAATTCTAATAATAAATCAGCATATTGGAATGATTTCTTAAGGATCATGTGACACTTTATACTGGAGTAATGGCTGATGGAAATTTTGCTTTGCATCAAAGAAATCAATTATATTTTAAAGGATATTAAAATAGAAACCATTATTTTATATTGTAATAACATTCTGTATTTTTGATCAAATAAATGCAGCCTTGATGAGCATAAGAGACTTCTTTAAAAAACATTACAAGTCTTACTGATCCCAAAATTTTGTATATATATATATATATGTATATATATATATATATATACACACCAGTAGTGTGTATATATATATATATATATATATATAAGTGCTGTCTATTAATCGCGATTAATCGCATCAAAAATAAAAGTTTTTGTTTACATAATATATGTGTGTGTACTGTGTATATTTATTATGTATATATTAATACAAACACATGCATGTATATATTTCAAAATACATACTGTATGTGTGTATTTATATATACATAATAAATATTATAGAACGCACACATATATTATGCAAACAAAAACTTTTATTTTGTACGTGATTTGTAATGTTTGACAGCACTACTATATATATATATATATAAGCTTTCATTAAAATATTATATATTAAAATACATTATATATTGCACATATTTCTAAAGTATGCATTATTAAAATAATATAGAAATTATATTATAATATATAAAATAATACATATTTTAATTATTTTACTTTTTTTTGTTATATATACATATTTAATTATATATATTTCGTCATCAAGTCTGTATGCTCAGCTTACTTTAATATGAGCGTTTTCAAAGTTTAATACTTTGTTCAGAAATTATTTCACTTTTCACAATGCAATCAAATCCTGCTGGAAGAAATCAAGTCTCTGCCTACTTTATCTCCCACTGAATATTTAGTTTCACTCTGAAATACATCACGTTGCAAAAGTTAAATGTGTTGAACGAATGCTGCTTCATGTTGTCTTTAACAATAAGGCAAACTCCCAAAACACAGCCACACACAATCAAGATGATTCATTGGTAGTGTAACCTGTGTGTGATGGAGCCCGTGACATGCCTGATCTCCTTCCAGCAGTGCTGTGATCTCAGGCGCCGGGCCGTGCGTTCTCTTAATATTCTCCACACAGTGGCAACCAGAGACGTTTGAAGTGCCGCACCAGACCTGATTGGGGCGCCATTAGTATTCACCATAACCTACAACTCCCCAAAAACACTTGCGCACCCACAGCGACTCCCTCTTTCATCTGACGCACTCAATCATGGCTGAGCCGTGGGAGCGCTCTCGTTATTTTTAACACGACCGCTCTTGTCTCAGACTGTGAAGGTGAATTTGGTGGAGTGCACCTGGTGAAAGAGATTACTGTGTGACTAACACACACTCTGTTCATTCAGTCCACGGCTGTGAGTAATGCAGGGTTGCATGCAATTAACACTCATTATAACAGTGAGGGGGTTGGGAAGACTCTTATTTTCACACAGTTCAGCTGAGAGTGTGATGCTCAACAGCACTCAACACATCTGACTTCCACTTTATGTAAATAGAAAACGGTTTATACCTTAACATTATCACAGTTTGAATTTTAAAGAGACCATTTTTTTGTAACTCCTATTGTTGTTTCACACTTCTACACTTGAAATCTATTCAGCGTTCTGTTCTGTCTAGATATGCTACTGACTCAAAGTCCATAACAAAAAGCCCCTGTTAAGATTGTTAAGATGTAATTTTAGTCTAAAACAAATGCCGCATAATTTGCATACTTCCTGGAAAGGAAAGACCAGAATGCACTGTAATGAATAATTTTTCATATAAAATAGTGGTTGATTTTAAATATACACTATCATTAAAAGTTTTTGAAAGAAGTCTCTTCTGCTCACCAAGGCTGCATTTATTTGATCTAAAATAGAAGTAAAATCAGTAATATTGTGAAATATTATTACAAATTAAAATCACTGTTTTCTGTTTGAATATATTTTAAAATGTAATTTATTGCTGTGATGCAAAGCTGAATTTTCAGCATCATTACGCCAGTCTTCAGTGTCACATGATCCTTCAGAAATCATTCTGAAATGCTGATTTGCTGCTCAAGAAACATTTCTTATTAATATTATCATCAATGTTTAATTTTTTCAGGATTCTTTGAGGAACAGAAGGTTCAAATTGTTCAAAAGAACAACATTTATTCGAAGAATCTTTGTAACATAATAATAAAAGTCTTAAATACTGTTACTTTTGATTAATGTAATGCATCCAAGTATTAATTTCTTTTAAACAAAAAAAATTACTTTTGTGCATGCATAAATATATGCAAGACATAACTAAATTGAGGTAACCATTATTTTAATGATTACTGTGTTCTTTTTATGATACAATATGACATTATGATGTAAAGTATTAATTTTACTTAAAAAATCATTCTGAACCCAAACCTTTGAACGATAGTACTGCATTTCATCCAATATTTATGCATAATACAAACACACAGAGCATGGTTAGTTTAGCACAAAGTGTTTGGATCGCAGTCTGGTACCTGGATGTTGTGAATGATGGCTTTGAACTGAGAGGAGCGCTGCATCCAGGTGTTCACCAGCTCCATGGCCCGGTCAAAATTTTTCACGTACTCGCCGTACATCTTCAGGAAAGGCGCCAGTTTCTGCAGGATGTCCCCGATGCGGGGGTTCAGATCCCTGAGGGGAGAGGGGTGGAAGTCAAGGTTCGCCCAACTCTTTGTGAAGGTCACCCTTCCCTTTCCAAAATTAGACTATTTCTAAACAAAGTTTAGTTTGTGGAAACACATATGTCACTTGGATACTTGGAAACATCTGTTTGTCCTCTAAATTCAAAATCCATCCAAAATTTCTAGTTATGTCCAAAAGAAAAAAGATCTGATTGCACGAGCCAACGTGAAAACTATTAGTCTAAAATAGTCTTCATGTTTGACAAAACATCAAATACTCCGTTAATGTGCCAAGTCTACGGTCTAGAATATCATAATATAACTCAGCTAATCACAAATGTGACCCTGGACCACAAAACCAGTCATAAGGGTCAATTTTTCGAAATTGAGATTTATACATCATGTGAAATCTGAATAAATAAGCTTTCCATTGATGTATGGTTTGTTAGGATAGGACAATATTTGGCAGAGATACAACTATTTGAAAATCTGGAATCTGAGGGTGCAAAAAAATCTAAATATTGAGAAAATCACCTTTAAAGTTGTCCAAATGAAGTTCTTAGCAATGCATATTACTAATCAAAAATTACGTTTTGATATATTTACGGTAGGAAATTTACAAAATATCTTCATGGAACATGATCTTTACTTAATATCCTAATGATTTTTGGCATAAAAGAAAAATCAATCATTTTGACCCATACAATGTATTGTTGGCTATTGCTACAAATATACCCCAGCGACTTAAGACTGCTTTTGTGCTCCAGGGTCACAAATAATACCGGTCATATTTTATTAACTTTTTTATACATTTTTATTAATAAAATATATAGAATCATTTATTAGCATTAACATTAATATTGCCTAGCTTATTATATAAGTATGCCCAAATTTATTCATATACATACAGTAAAATGATTTAGTATCTTAGTATTTTTGTCTTGCTTTTCAGTACAAATATCTAAACTTCAAATATTTTGTCTTGTTTTCTGAATTTAAATCAAAATTAGGTGTTTACGTTTAAAACAAGAAAATAATATTGTTTTCCCTTTGAATTAAGTTTCTTTTTCTTACCCCACTGGCAGATATTTTTCTCATTTTAAGCATAACCTGACTTATTTTGTATACGTTTTTCAGAAAACAAGACTTAATATCTTAAATCATTTTGCTTCTCAAGTAAATGTATCATGATTTGAGAATGTTTAGATATTTGTACTGGAAAACAAGACAAAAATACTGTGTAAGAATCATTTTTTACTTCTACTACATACGATAACATATCTCAACTCACAAAATGACATTATTGCCCAGCCCTAGTCTGCTAAATCATGTGACTATAAGGCATAAAGATATTGAGATTAGTGCTGTCAAATGATTAATCGCATCCAAAATAAACGTTTTTGTTTACATAATATATGAGTTTGTATATTTATTATGTATATATAAATACAAACACATGCATGTATATATTTAAGAAAAATATGCTATGTTTATATATTAAATATATATAATATAAAATATAATAATATAAATATATAAATGTATATACATGTAAATATTTTCAAAATATATACTGTCTGTGTGTGCATTTTTTATATACATAATAAATAAACACAGAACACATACATATAGTATGTAAACAAAAACTATTATTTTGGATGCGATTAATCACGATTAATCATTCGACAGCACTAATTGAGGTATAAACATTAACATCATGATTTTCTGCAAAGCCACTTTGAAACAATGTGTTTTGTGAAAAGTGCTATATTAATAAATTGGACTTGACAGCAAGATAAAACATTAGTAGCATTACCATTTTACCATAGTAAAATCGATCTCACAGTCTTTCTTTCTTTCTTTCTTTCTCACCATTCCTCCATGCGTTTCTCCAGCGCGGGCAGCAGGAACTGCTGGTGGAAGCAGTAGATGGAGCAGATGTTGGAGAAGATGCCCATGACCACCTCACAGGGGAAGGAGCTGCGAGCTCGGGCCTCCTCCATCAGCTGGGCGCAGAACACCTGGTCCAGGAGGTGCAGTCTGGACACGTAAGCCTTCTCCGTATGCAGCAGCTCATTAGCAATGTTAAACACCCGCTGCTGGACTGACAGCTGCAAAACGAGAAGATGTTGGCGGAATAATGAGTTTGAACAAACCTGTGACAACAAGTTGGACTGAAGTGCATAGAATAAGTCTCATTCTTTCTAACAGTAAGAACTTTCAAAAACATTCAGATTTAAAATGTATAAATTAAGAATTTTGTGATTTTGAAAAAGGTTTCTTATGCTCACCAAGCATGCATTTATTTGAGCAAAATACAAATAATTAAAAATAACAAATACAAATTTTTTTTTTTAAATATACTTTTTTCCAGGATTCTTCAATGAATAGAAAGTTTTAAAGAAGCATTTAACTAAAATAGAAATCTTTAGTAAAATTATAGATGTCTTTACCACTGATCAATTTATTGCATCATTGCTGCATAAAAGTATTAATTTAAATTAAAATGAAATTTTACTGACCCTAAAATTTTGAATGGTAGTGCTATAAAAATAAATAATAAAATATAACATTTTATTAAATAAATATTAAAAAACTTATGTAATTTGTATATCATGCATTTTAAAAATAATTTTAACAAATAAATTGTATATGTATTTTTTATATATTATATATCTATTTATATATAAATTACATAAGTATATATGGTTAAAGTAAATGTTTATATTATTAATTTTATAATAAATAATATATTATATGATTACATATTATATAATATTATAATATAATTATTTTATAAATGTTTATATTATATTAATATATACTTAATATAAACCATAGTTAATATTAAAATGCTTGTTTTCATACATAGGGTTATGGTTATTTATTTATTTTTTATTATATATTAAAATACATTACTTACAAAACAATATTTTAAAGTATAAATATATATCATTTTATAATATATCATTAGAATTGTAATTATATAATATATAAATGATATACAATTATACAAGATAAAAATTGTATAAATAATTAAAAATAAATGTATAAAAAATATTTAAAATATAAAAATTGCATTAAAAATGTAATTATAAAATACAGATTATGTTTATATTTAATAATATATTGTATTAAAAGTATATACTGTAGTCAGGGTTTCTTGCACTAAATTAGTCATTTATCTCTTACAATTAATTAAGCTGTTCATGTATACGTATGTGTTTGTGTGTATTCACAATACGGAAGTCAATATGGAGTCTTTGGTAATACCCTGGTACCAATCCATGACTAAATTATTTAATAAATTCCCAAATAGGTGCCTATATAAATCCTCACCTCAGTGGAGTCCTGTCGTTCAGCTTTAGGCAGAGGTTGAAGGGCCATGGGGTTCATCTCACTCTCATCCCCGCTGCCCTCCTCCATATCACTGTCTCCCTCGGAGTCTCTGCCGCCCTCCACACCGCTGGCCCCCTCTCCTTCGGGCCCCTCGGCATAGCCGCAAGGAAGCCCGGGCCCTGGACTGCAGGGGCAAATCTCCCTCTCGTGACCGACCCGATCCTCGTCCCCGACGAAGCAGAGCTCCTCGCTGTGTGAGGGCGAGCTGATGCTGTCGATACCACTGTCTCTATTAGCCAGCTTCCCATCCATCTGTGACGGTGGGAGGGACAAACGATCCGAGGGGATTTCTGATTGGTTGGCTGTGAGGTCCCTCATTTCCATGGTGTCCAGCAGTTTATCAGAGGCACCGTAGCCCGATTCCATAGAGAGACGCTTTTCTGAGCAGGTCGCCCCGAGTTCACTGTCATCCTCCTCGGTTTCGTCCACCTCATCTTCCTCCTCCTTTTCTTCTTTCTCGACCTCCTCCTCAGCCAGTGGCGCCTCTAGTGGATCCTGAAGAGACGTGCAGGGCAGGATGAACTCTGAGGGTGGAGGGCTAAATGACCCAGAAGCGGCCTGCTGTTCGGGGACCCGTGGGGTACACATCACTCCCCCGGTGATATCTGGTACCATGATGATCTGCTCTCTGAAAAAACAAAAACAAGTTACATGTGACAAATATATATTTCTAAATATATGTATATAAATATTTAAAACACCACATTGTGAGCACTGTATTAAAATAATATAATAAATAAAATACAAAATGTATTAATATAAAAAAATTTAATAAATTTAAATTTCAACATCCTTAAAAAAAATTAACACTTCAGACAACATATATTGGATTAATTCTTTCTTACACCGTTGGCAAATAAAAAATGTAAACTAAAGTAAATTAAAAAAATACATTTATGAACAATAAACATTTTTTTATTAAAAAAAATACATTTAGAAAGATTTATGCTTAAAAAATAAGAACCTATAGCTATATTCTCTAAAAAAGTCTTAATATCTTATGCAATTCTTCTAAAGTACATATTGCTTTACCTTCATTTTTAAGCCAAAGTAAATAAAAAGATCAATTTAGTAAGATGTATGGTTAAAAATAAGAAACTCTCTAGCTGTATTCTCTAAAAAAATGTCTTAATATATTATGCAATTCTGCTTCTCAAGTACATCTTGTTTTCAGGATGTTTAAATATTTTTACTGGAAAACAAGACAAAAATACTGATTAATAAATCATTTTTGGCAGTGAGATTAAAGATATTACTTCTTGTTTACCTGTGATCAACAAACGGAGATATCATTACTCGAGAGCACCAAATCAGAACTGTAGTTATGAATAATAAAATCTACCGTAATCAAAAAGCGGCTCCAGTGACAAGCGCCCGAATGATTGTGATCTCTCACCTCTCAAACTTCTCGATGAGCGAGAGGACACAAGTGGGGGAGGAGCTTCCCTCTGCTCTCGGTAAGGTGGCGCGTGATTGGCGGGGGTCGGCGGGGAGTGGGCGGGAGGGTGCAGGTGGGAGGGGCTTGTCCGGGGGGCGTGACCGTCGAGCGCTCTGCTGCTGGAGATGAGGGGGTTTCGGGGGCACTGAACGAGACAAAATCAATATGCAAATCAATACACTGAGACTGGTGCACGATAACATGACCGCACACAGACAGACACAGATATTAAATTGGAACAGCAGGGCAGAATAACAAGTACTTTTATTCGATTACATCATATTGCATATTATATTATATCATAAATTATGACAAACATGAGGTCAAAGAGAATACAGTAAACATTCAAATAATGGTGACCTCTATTTAGTTATAAGTTCTGCATATATTTAAATATGCATAAAACATACACTATTGTTCAAAAGATTTTTAATTTTTTTACTTAAACTTTAGAACTTAAGAAATGTATAATTTTATTAATTTATGAATTTAATAAACAGTAACAATTCTGAAAAAAGGTATCACAGTTTCCACAAAAATGTTAAGCAGCATAATTGTTTCCAAAATTATTAATAATAAGAAACGTTTCTTCAGCAGCAAATCAGCATATTAGAATGATTTCTGAAGGATCATTGTGACACTGAAGACTGGAGGAATGATAGCTTTCATCACGGGAATAAATTACATTTTAAAATATATTCAAATAGAAAACATTCACTTTAAATTGTAATAACATTTCACTGTTTTTACTGTATTTCTGATAAAATAAATGCAGCTTTAATGAAAATAAAAGACATCTTTCAAAAACATTTAAAAATCTTGCTGACCACAAACTTTTGAATGGTACTAGCTCTCGAATCTCATTTGCATATGCAAATATTTAAATAAATAACAACAAATTTACCGCCATTCCTCAAACAAAGCTATTTTATGGCTTCACAAGACTTGCAATATGGCATAAAAGTTGCCTTTCTGTCATTTTTCAAACTTGACGTCCTGTGTTCACTGTATTTGTGAATTTTTGAACAAAGAGCTTGGTCATTCTTCAAAATACATTATTTTGTGTCATGATGGTGAGTAAATGATGACAGAAGTTTAATTTTTGCCTGAACTATCCCTTTAAAGGTGTCATATGATGTTGCTAAAAAGAACATTATTTTGTGTATTTGGTGTAATGAAATGTGTTTATGTGGTTTAAGGTTCAAAAAACACATTATTTTCCACATACTGTACATTATTGTTGCTCCTCTATGCCCCGCCTTTCTGAAACGTGTCGATTTTTACAAAGCTCATCGGTCCGAAAAGCAAGGTGTGCTCTGATTGGCCAGCTATCCAGTGTGTTGTGATTGGCCGAATGCCTCAAGCATGTGACGGAAATGTTACGCCTCTTACCATACTGTGATACCGTGTCCCGGCCGGAACGACGAGACAAAAACATTAAAACCCATTACAAACGAGGCATTTGTTGCATCCAGTGGGGACATACCGTATTGACCGAATACAAGACAATGTTTTTTTTCTTGGAAATGCATCTGAAAAAACGCGGTCGTCTTATATTCAGGGTCTAGACTTTGACATGTCAATAATACACCCACAACAATAGGTGGCGCCAAATATGCATAAAACAAGTGTGCCATGAAATATGTAATGTAATGCGTGTTGTAAAGATCGCGAGTAAAAACAAAAGAATAAGAAAAGCTTACAGCTGCATGAGTCGTGACTGTCACGTTAGCCTGATGGGACTAAACTCCCTTTGTGATTTTAAAACGTAAGACAGCACCCAGATTTGAAGACTACAGTAAGATTTAACTTCTACTGTTAATACGATTTTGGTAGGCTACTACTAGATGGATAGCCTACATGTCCTAATTCAGATGGGCTACCTGTTTTTGTTTTTTTAATGGTATATCAAAAAGTGTATATTTTTTAAATGTGATTGTTGGTACATTTTACCAGTTTTTACCATACTTTCAAAACAAAAATTAAAATAGGAAAAATATGCAATATGAAAATAATTGAAGACAAAATGTGTCCATGTCTGCATTTGTGATCGGAGAAACGACAAACAACAAGCACTACTCTACACTGCTCAAAACTCACGTTTGAATCGTCAGTGGCAAATTCTTTAAATATGAAAACGTACTTACAGTCTGTGAGTCAGAAGCGCCAGACTGTCCTTGCAAAGTTGGAATTGCCCAACTTTATAGAAACAGCCTTTGTGCATAGCCGCATTGTAGGCTACTGGTTCAGGAAACAGTCCTCCATAAAATGCGCTGCACACACTCGAATATTTGGTTTGAACTGTTCTGGAATAGTGGTGTAAATACAACTTAACCACTGATTTCTAGTCGTGTCCTCTTTTGGAAGACCAAACAAAGTAGTTTCGCTTTCACAACGAAACACACAGCATCTTCACGACATGGCGGCGGCGGCAACAACAATACTACAGCGAGAATTAAACTTAAGCCTTCTTTCTTTGCGTGAACCATTGGGCTGCGTTATGCAAATCTTCCCACACAGTGACGTAGACATGTGGGGGCGTGTTTAAACGAGGCATTTTAGGAGGGCGCAGACGACTCTTTAACTTTTATAAAGAATATCTCTTTGGGTTTGAGACTTTAGTCTTTGCAACTTTAGGGATCTTATCTATTCACGAACAGCTTGTAACACTCCAAAGAGAAAGGAAAACTTGAAATCGCATCATATGACCCCTTTAAATGTACAGAACGTACCTTGAGGCTTTGGCCCAGGTAAAGGTGGGCGTGTTTTAGGGGGTGGAGGCGGGACGTCCTGAGGTCCATTCTCACTTGTGCCATTGCAGTGCTGTGCTTCCAGGGGTCCAGGGTCAGAGCAGAGGCGCTGTGGGGTCTCGTGGGCTCCGAGGCAGGGGCCTGGCTCAAGAGACAGACTCTTGGTTAGAAGCCGTGGACTGGTGGTGGACGGGCCTGACAGAACGAGAGAGTGTAGACTCGCTTTGAATTTGGAGAATCTGAATGAAGGGAGCAAACCATGCCTGGTGTTCTTTATCAGTTACAACCAATAACTTGTTATTGGTTTCATTTGAGTAGGTTTAGGTCGAAATGAGACTTGTTTTGCAATTCAGATTAGTTTGAGTTGAAATACACCACTCTCTCTTTCATAGCCAGAGCTTTCCCATCAGGGTCATTAATGTGAATAAAATTGGCTTTGGCAAGAAAATAAAACCGTTACTTGTAAACAATGTGAGTAATTACAAATGAACAACCATGCACTTCCCAACAACTTTTACCATCAGAAGATTTTTTAAGATGATGAATGTTTTTCTTAAGAACATGTGAATGAAGCCACTACAACAATGAGAAAAAAATATGAGAAACAAAAACATGATGTGTTTACAGAGAGACGGACTGATTCATATTAAGTGCTATAATACTTAATTCATTTCCAGCATTTCCTACACTTCATTTCCAGCATTATCGTTGACATGATTGCAAAGATATTATTTAAACTGAACTGAGCTGGATGTTGACATCACTGAATTCAATGATGAACTGTCTTTAACTGAAAAATTAGTGTTTACTATTGTCATTTTGCATTATTGACACTATTTTCCTAATTAATGCTGTTCAGTTGCTTTGTCACAATCTGTATTGTTAAAAGCGCTATATAAATAAAGGTGACTTGACTTGACTTGACTATATTGACCTGTGTTGTTCAAAAGTTTGGGGTCAGTAAGATTTAATGTTGTTTTTAAAAGAGGTCTCTTATTGCTCACAAAGACTGCATTTATATGATCAAAAATACAGTAAAAACAGTAATAATGTGAAATATTATTACAATTTAAATTTTCTATTTGAATATATTTAAAAATGTCATATATTCCTGTGATCAAAGCTGAATTTTCAGCATCATTACTCCAGTCTTCAGCGTCACATGATCCTTCAGAAATTAGTCTAATATAATTTTGTGGAAACTTTGTGTGGAAACGTTTCAGGATACTTTGATGAATAGAAGTGTATTAGAAATGAAAATCTTTATTAGAAATGTCTTTTGATGAATTTAATGCATTCTTGCTGAATAAAAGTATAAACACTTTTGAACAGTAATGAAACTAACCTCATGTAAATGAAAACAAAAAGACTTATCTTTAAAAGATATTGCAAAATGTAATTTTTTAGTAATGCAAAAATTAAATTCACTGCCATTCAAAAAGAACATTTAAAAAGTTTAAAAACTCTCATTATTACTAGCATGATCATCTCAGACAGGAAACACTTTAAGTATCAACAAGAAAGAGGAAAACAATACGGACAAATTCAATTCAGCCTAATTTAATGGAGCCGGCTGGGCGTAATGGATTACAGTTCAGCTGAGTGATGTGTCTGAACGCCAGAAAGCATAAATGTACAACACGTTTTCACACAAATCACCTCTGACTCAATAAACTGCGAGTCCAGATCCAGTGATAAGTCCAAGTATATACTCCACATCAATCTTAGGCTTAAATTACACACTGGTTTGTGCTGACACAATGTGAACATGACATCAAACTGTGTAAAGAGACTGCTGGGTAAACGGGGAGAGCAGTAGAGCACTCTGTGCCCGTGTTGGGCCGTCGTGTGTTAAGTAGGTCAGTGTGTTAAAGTGCCAGTCACTACTGTGTATATTTGCCTGTTCAATTCAATCAGTGTAAGACATCGTGAGTTTGGATCTAGTGACATAACAAAATTCACAGCTACAAACGATGCACACGTAAATATGATTTGAAGGGCTTTGATATCAAAATGAGCATGGACAGGAAAAAATCTTGTTGGAATTTTTTAAAGTGGCATGGACGGGTCAGATGGTGGGCAGACCCGCCGTCTCGATGACGTTGCCATTTTAAAAAAAGCTCGCCTGTCCCCCTACAAAGAGCTAATTGGTTCCATATGGTGACACTCATACCAGCTAGTGAAGGCAGGGGGCTGAAATGACTTCCACATGCTCCACCAAAATGACTTAAAGGTGAAGAAAGGCTAGCGAGGGAGAAAACCAGAGTTATCCTAGCCGCAGGTTTGGATTCGCAGAACATGTTGTTTTTCCCATGTGCTCTGGAGTTCCTGTACAGGGGAAAGGGATGTGTGCTGCGACCTACAAGACCGTTTGAGTTACATATGCATCAAAAGAACAGGCGTGTCCAAAACACATCAACTTGAAAGGCATATAAAGATAATATAAACTTTTCAACTTAATTTTTAGTAATTGTCTTTTTACTGATATTTCAAATAGCAGGACTACACTATGCTATGTGGTGTTTTTATTCACATCATCTTGAAGGGCATATAAAGAAAATATGTTTTCAAATAAAACATTTTTAGCAATCGTCTTTGTACTGTTATTGCATATAGCAGGAATATACTATGCTTTATGGTTGGTATGGTATCCTGGGTGGCAGTGTTTTTTTCTTTTATATATATATACTAATTTATTGAGATGCACCTGTATATCCAATTGTATAGTTAAACATTTTTTGCATTGTTTACATATCTGGTGTATTTAATATGCTTTTTCACAAAAAAAGCTTAAATATGTCATTTTGATTACCAGTTTGATCAGAAGATTAGTTTTATGAGATAAAATTTGTAACTTCACATGAGCCATATATGAGCCAATATCACATAAACAAGAGTGCTGTTTTTCCAGAATATCAGCACAATTGCAAATGTCATATTGACTTTATAAAACAGTTAAATAAACAATAAAACAGTTAAATACATTAACATTAACAAGTTTGAAAAGACACAATATTGTCTTTTTTAATATTTGTCCACAGCTGCATTAGACAGTCTGTTTGAATACACCTAAACACCACTTCAGATGCAACTTCTGCAGTGCAAACATGGAATTTATTGAATTTATTGATTAAATGTAAGAATTTGATGATGCAAATGCATAATTCCAAGGTTATAAAATGCCATTATAAAGGTAAAAAATCCTGTGAAAATCAATTTAAGGGGCAAATATTGCCTCATAGAGGATTCGTACTGGACTCTAGTTCATTTCTGTCACTGCTATAAACTAACTCAACACATAATAAGAAAAAATATGAAAAACTTCAGTATAGACAGCTGTCCATGACAGGCCTAAACCATTCCAGGCAAGTACACTGCAAAAAATCATTTTCCAAAATTGTAAATAAACCATTAAAATATTTTAAAAGAAAACACTTTAGGCTTTATACTTGAAAATGTTTGGTTTTGCAGTTTCATTGTAATTATTTGTGAAATTTACAAGCAATTTCTGAGTGAAAATGGTTTCACTACCATTTTTGTCCATGCAAACACAAAAACACATTCTGCAAAATATTGTCTAATTATCGTAATCGTCAAAATCACAAATATCAATTTTGTGTTAATATCGCACACCCCATCCATCATACAGCTTTTGAAACAACTTAAGGTGAGTAAATGACAGAATTTCCATTTTTTGTTGAACTATCCCTTTAAGAAATTCACTTCCAATGGGAAGCTCATGTGAAGGACGTCTGTAAGCATAATCTGAATTACCCATGATTCAATAGAGCATCTGCCTCACCAGCTTCCCAAACAAAACCACTTTGAAGACATTCAGCGCTAGATCCTATTGACTACAGCAGTTTGCATTTCAATAACAAGACCCGTGGCTTCACCTCGAAAGATTTCCAATCAAAAATCGAAAGTCCACAGTAAACTATTTAGCAATATGTTAATGAGCAGTTCTTCAGTCACAACTGAACCTAAAAGAAACTGCCAACCTGGCTAAAGTCAAAGGAAAACATTTCAAGGTCAAACTCTGAGCGTGAAATCAGGACATGAGCAAACAGGATGTACTGCACCTGCACTGTAAAGAAATGACTATTAAAGACATTCACACATTAGGATGCAGGTCAAATTCTTCTCCTAAATGGTGCCAAGAGGCCTGTAAAAATGAGCTGTGGTCCGGTGGAGTTATTGCTGGCTAGGCACTGAGACTCAAGTTTGACAACCTCTGCAGAAATCTCCACCCCATGGGTCTGATATCAGGATAGCGGTTATATCGTCACAATTCAGATTGATGTCTACACTATAAAACCACACAGAAACTCTCTTATTTGAATGATGATGCACTTCATTCACAGCTTGTCAAGCACATATTGGCTTTTCACACTGTAAGAACACTGAAAAAAATAATGTAGAAACAATTTTAACTTAAATTTCGCAATGAATTATAAAAAACATCATTGTTTGCAAGTAACATTGAATTAAAAGTGACCTTTTTGAAGCAGAAAGATTATTTTCTTATACTATTTCAGTCAAATGTACTCTAATAATCTTTGCTTTGTTTACAACTTTGAACAATAATTGTTTACAGCATACTGTATATATACTCAATTCAAACCATGTGGTTTCCTTCTCAGCTATTTAGTACTGTTTGGGGTCAGCAAGATTTCTTTTTAAATTATTTAGGAAGTCATTATTACTTTTATTCATGCATTAAATTGATCAGAAGTGACATATTTATAATGTCACAAAAGATTTCTATTTTAAATCAATGTTTTTGTAAACTTTTAAACTTTCCATTCATCAAAGGATCCTGGAAAAAATATATAATGGTTTTTCCACACAAATATCAACATTGGAAATTAGGGTTGGGCCGGTAGACGATGCCATCGTCCATTGCCGATGGCTGACAGACATCACGATGTTGAGCTGGTGTAGTGCCGAAATTTGCACCCTGCCAGATTATGCACCCCCTAGTATTGGTAGGTTTAGGGTTAGGTGTGGGGGTGGGGTTGGGATTAGGCAATCAGGTAGCGACTTCAACGAGGGGGTGCATAATCTGGCAGGGGTGCAGAATTCGGCACAACACCGGCATCGTGATCCCCCGCAATCTGCCGCATCCCAATTTCGTGTTCAGAAAGGAAATTAAGGGCCTGTTTACACCTGGTCACTTCATGCGTTTTGTCGTG